TTTGCTCCTCTCCTTGAAAAGCAAAAGAAAAACTCCCTCATTGGTACACAATCTCCCCCGCACATCCCCAAACCCCACCCCCTACCCCCAAATATAATCCACTCTGCAACCCTCATTGCATACTCCTACGATAAAAATAATGCCCTAAAATATACAGTATCTTAACCTGAAATAAAACCTGGTCCTTGGAGTTCCCAAATCTAATGGGCTCCAGAGTTGGGTCAGTACTAAATACACAGGAAGGGGTTTCTCCTAAAATGCTCTGTTATTGCTAAGCATCATTGATTCAAGCACAACTTAACAGCGACCCTATAGAGAACAGATTGTTACTTTATCCTATCCTGTGCCATCCTTATCATCCTTGACACATTCTTGCAGACACTGTATCAATACATCTAGTTGACAGCCTTCCTCTCTTTCATTGATCCCCTACCTTTTGAAGCATGATTTCCTTTTCTAAGGACTAGCTTCTCCTAACAACGTGTCCAAAATATGTGAGAAAGTGCTTTACCATCTTTACATCCAATGGACACTTACTGAACATTCTCCAAGACATTCCTGTTAGTTCTTTTGGCAAACCATGTGATACTCATTCGTCTTCTCCAACACCAGTACTCAAAGGCATCAATTCTTCTCCTGTCATCCTTATTCACTATCTAGCTCTCAGATACATAGCCAGTGATTAGAAAAACTATGGCTTGAATCAGGCAACCTTAGGCTTTAAACCAACATCATGGCTCTTTAATGATTTTGGAGAGATTCATGATAATAAACTTTCCCAAAGGAATAGGTCTTCTGATCTCCTGACTACTGGTACCAAGGGTGTCTGTTGATTGTAGACTCAAGCAAGATGAAATAATTAACAATTTCAATCTTTTCTCTGTATATCATGATGCTGCCCACTTGTGGAAAGGGGGGAGGATGGGAAGGCAGTTCTTGTGTGGTATCACTTACTTTATAATTTGTGTGTGTGTGTATGCTTACTTGGTAAAAGCTGACTATTCTGAGTATAGTACTTGTCTGTTTGTTTATAGTACTAAGATACCTTGCTACCTGCTGTGATACTGGAGGCCGTACCACTGGTATTAATACCATCAGGTCACCCATAGTGGACAAGTTTAAGTAGAGTTTCCAGATTAAGACAGACTAAGAAGGATTGACTATCCACTTCTGAAATAACCGGCCTTTTTTTGTCTTTTTAAAAAAAATTTATTTTATTAATCTATTGAACATTTCCAGAGAATTTGGATTTCCATTCATTCATTATTGCACTTTTCTCCCTACACCCCCTCCCCCCGTTTCTCTCCTCTCTTTGAAAAGGAAAAGAAAAACTCCTTCATGGGTGCACAATCCCCCTACCCCGAGTGCACTCCACTATGCAACCTTAATTCTGGACTCTTGTGATAACCATAATACCCTATCATATACCACGTTTAATAACTGTCCTTTGAAAATCCTATGAATAATTCAGAAGAGCACTGTTAATCATAGTACTAGAGGTAGGACTTGTAGAGTGTGAAATATTACAAATTAGGAGAGACAGGTGTAAGCATCCGTTAATAAATGAAACATGGAATGTATGAAGTATTAATCCACATCTGAAATAACAGGCCTTCGAAAATCCTATGTACAATAGAACACATTTAGACTAGCAAATATGGCAACTGGGGCTGAACCCTTAAATATGGAAACACAAAAGAAGAGGAACAGTTCTAAGCAGACACTAGTGATTGGAATATGTAATGGGAGAAACTTGAATATAGGAAAATTGGAGATTGTTACGAAAAATGTGGAACACGTATATATTGACTTACTACTTACTGGCAAACTGAGATGGACAGGCATGGGATCTTTTGACAGACAATCATATGATCTACTATGCAGAAGATGAAAAGGTGAGGAAAAATGGGGTTTACTTCATAATTAAAATCATTTCTAGATGCATCTTGAAATGCAGTATTGTGAATGACTGGATAATATCCATATACATACAAAGAAGTCCAGTAAATACCACTATCATTCAAATATATGCACCAAAACCTACAGCCAAAAATGGAGGAAATAGAAGATTTCCACCAACTTTTACAGTCAGAAATTGGTAGAACATGCAATCAAGATGCATTAATAAAAATGGGTGACTGGAAAGCAAAAGTTGTAAACAGGGAAGAAGGATCAGTAGTTGGAAAACATGGACTTGGTGACAGAAATTATGCTGGAGACAGCATGATAGGATTCTTTACAATAGATGACCTATTCATTGCAAATGCTTATTATAAGAAACATAAACACAGATTATACACATGGCTTTCAACTAATGGTATACATAGGAATAAGAGCTAACTGTGGAACAGACCACCAACTACTCTTATATAAGTTCAAATTGAAGCTAAACAAGGTTAAATCAAATACACAGGAACCTAATTTGATCTTGAATTTATCCCACTTGAATTTCAAGACATCTCAGGAACAGATCTTAGACCTTGAATGCAATGAGCAAAGACCAGCTGATATCAAGAATGTCATCCATGAAGAATGCAAAAGTCATTACAAAGGCAGAGGAAGAAGAAAAGACCAAGATGGATGAGAGTCTTAATATTGCACTAGAGTACTGAGAAACCAAAGCAAAAGGAAGAAATAAAAAAAGTTAAGGAACTGAACAGAAGATTTCAAAGGGCAGCCTGAGAAAACAAATCAAAGTATTATAAAGAAACTTAAAAAGAACTGGAGTCAGAAAACCAAAAGGACCAAACTCTCTTGGCATTTCTTAAGCTGAAGGAAGTCAAGAACAAACTGAAGCCTCAAGTTGTAACACTCAAGGAAGCTTTGGGCAGAATATTAAACGACTCAGGAATCATTAAAAGAAGATGGAAAGCGTACACAGAGTCATTGTGCCAAAAAGAATTGGATGACACAGAAGAATTTCATGAAACAACCTATGAACAAGAGCCTGTGATGATGAAGGAAGAAGTTCAAGCTGCTCTGAAGGAACTGGAAAAAAGAGGTCCCAGGAATTGATGGCGTAGCAATAGAGATATTTCAACAAAAAGACACTGACCTGAATGTGCTCATCAAGTTGTGCCAAGAAATCTGGAGGAAAACCAACTGACCAAATGACTGGAAGAGATCCATATTTGTTCCCATCCAATCACAACATTGGCACAAGATATGAATAGACACTTCACTAAAAAAGAAATTCAGATGGCAAACAAACACCCAAAGAAATATTCATAATTCCTATCTCTCAGAGTGATGCAAATAAAAACAACTATCATCTCACCCCAGCAACAATAGCAAAGTTCAGCAGGGCAGCAAAACACAAATGCTAGCAAGGTTTTGGAGAAATAGAAACCCTTATTCACTGCTAGTAGGAATGTAAAATGGTTCAACCACTATGGAAGACAATTTGACACTTTCTTAAAGAGTTAGACATGCTCCAGGACTTAAGAACAATAAATGACATAGCTGAGCCTCTACAGCTTGTGGTTCCTAACCTTTATACTATAACAGACAAAGTGCTAGTCAATAGGCCTTTTATTTTAAGAACTACCTTCCTTCTGTAACTTGATTTGTGCCACTATTAGAACCTCTACTTGGAATATTATTGATTTTTAATTTTTTTTTATCTTGAAT